ATCACCATTGTCGAAGTACCACCGTCGTCGTTGCGTATCAGCCTGTATCATCATTATTTCGCTCTTCGTGATAACATTGATTATTGTTATTACAAACGCCTCGCTTAATCATTTAATACTATTTTGGCATCGTCGAACTGTATAATTTTCGAGCTTTCCGCTTTGTAAAAAAGTTTCTTTTTTCCTTCAGCTAGAATAACGCGTCCCTTGGGGATGTACTTATAGACAGGTTTGGAAGTTTCGCACGATGGGTGTCTCGGGGTGCATTACGTGGCCTAAGTATTACATTTTCGGAAGTCGATGCGGAATTTTGATTTCTCTTTTCACGATTGCACGCGGTTGCACCGGACGTCGCGAGAACTCGCGTTTTCCTTATCGCATTCTCGGCGATCGATTCATCAAGTTGTAACGTGGCTCCATGATTCGATCATTCGTCGCGCGCGAGAGAGAGACTAAGGATGCTTTCCAGCAGGAGACACGGATGACGCAGTGTATCACAGTGAATCATTACATCCTTGTTGTCCAAACGAAGATGATTACTTTGTCACGCAGTGTCGCTTGATGGGAAGCACCCAAAAAGAAACATTCCTTGTTATTGTGCGAAAAATAAAATCTTGACCCGCGACGCCCGCTGGAGATCCGGGAATGAATCGTCACGAAACGCTTAATTAATTGTAACTTGGACAAAGGCGCCTCGTTTTATTGTATTGTCATTTCTGGCGGAATACGAGGAGGACAATAGTATCTCGCTACATACGTTAAGAAAAAAAGGAAAGGAGAGAAAAAGCCATGCCGGGGGGGAGCCCGATGCTATTCTACATTGTACTCTCACTACCGTCCTTGCTGCTCTCTTATCTAGAAAAATGGATCGGTGTATCGAGCGATGTATATGTGCTTGAGCGAAAGAAACGAGTCACGCCCGAAATTATCTCGTCCCGTTTTACCGTAGCTATACAAGTGTCTGTCACGTGAAGAGAAGTTGTAGCGAACTCAGAGAGAACAAAGATACGTTCTTTTTTTTTTTTTTTCTTTTTATTTGCGTTTCTCATTAAGAGGGAATCAGCACGTTGAATTCGTTACCAGACGTATTGCGGACTTCTTCGTACGTCTGGATGGGCCTAATTTTTTCCTTGATAGATTTTTAATTTACTCAACTATATAAAAATTCCTCGTTTTGTTTATTCGTCTCCAGTAGACTTTACCTTGAACTTTATGAAACTGCGCGAACCGCAGAGACAATAAATTCGAGATAAAATAAACTGGAGACATAAAGAGGATTACGTTTTTTTTTTTATCCTCGCCGATTTGTGAGGCCGTTCCGAGTAATACGAGCAAAAAAATCGACGTGACGTATTGAAATTTTTTACGTGTCATAATAGAAAACATCGATCGATCGGTGCGCAGGAAGTCAGACAATCTCAATCGAAAGTCGAACCGCCAGCTTGCCGAAAATAGAAAAAACGGTACAAGTACCGTGTTCTCAAACTTAATTAATAAATATATAATATACATTAAATTAAATTACATTACTAGTTATTACTCTTGCCGATATTATTATTATTATTATTATTATTATTATTATTATTACTATTACTATTACATGCGATAACTAATGAATGATAATATATTAATGATTCCTATAACTCCAGTAGGCGAGGGTTGGTCGCGTCTTGCTTCTTTCTTTTTTCATTCCACCGATTTGCGGACGCAAAAGAAAAGGGAAACTCGGTAAACACGAACCAAAATCAAAAACCCGTTCAATTCACTCGCTCGTTATATGAGTTAAAGTAGAAATTTTGCATCTTAAAAATCGTACTACGCTTATTTAAGGGATCGCAGACAAATATAGCGAAAATAAATAAATAAGGACCTCCTCAGTTACCAATCCTGCTGGGAGTTCTGTCCGCCTCGACTTTTCCCCGATCAGTTCCCCGCGACAGGGTATCTTTACTTACGTACAACTCAGTTATCACTGAAGAATCGCAAACGATGAATTTCGCGGCAACGAGAGCTGAAAGTTCTCTCCGGAAAGTTTCACCGTTCTATTTATTGACTCTTGACATTGCATCATTGATTAAACCCTTACGCTCAGCCAGCCCAGTGTCACATCCGAGGAAAGCATCCTTTAAACTCTGCCATCAAGTGGTGACATTCCAGGCTTTTGATAAAGAAACGTGGCGAATCCTCGTGCCAATTCTCTTCTCGGAAGAGACCCGAATTCTAAATAACAGTGATGAAAAGGATATGGAAAATGTGAAGACAAAGAAGGCGTGGAAACCTGACACATTAACATTATTAGGAATAATTAACGACAATGGAATGTACATCGCGATAATGTAACGAGAGCATAATAAAACTAGGAAGTACAGAGAGTGCATCTCTGATCTTCGTTCAGAATTCTTCCGAACTTGGAAACTTTTATGAACCAGAAGCAAAAACCTGGATATGCCACATCAAGAAGCACCAATCTATTGTATCGAGATCCTCCGAGAAAGTCTCCATGATGACAATGGACGTTTGATCCATCGGAAAGCACACTGCCAGAGGCCACGTCGATTAGCCCTGAACGTTAAAGATTATCAGCAGGATCCTGTTGCCGAGCTTTGTGCTGCTCGCAACAGGCTTAGACTAAAAGACGAATAATATATATAAATAAGATTGAGGACAATAGAGAAGATAATCGATAGTTATAAATCGAAATAGTAAAAAATCGAATCTTTTCGTCTCTACTAGTTCAATAATAATGCGTCGAATCTCAGAAAACCGATCGAATTCCTTTTTGTCGCACCGATTGATCTCTCGACTACTTCTCTTTCGTTTTGATGAGACATTAGATACGAATGTCATTACATACGAATGTCCGTATTAAAAAATTAATTTTTAATTTTTTTAAACTATACGAAAAATTAATTCGTATAACCACCATCCTAATAAATTTATTAAATTTTATTAAATAACGTCAAATTTTGTTGCAAACGACAAGCTAGCATAAAATCGCACTATTAACTAATTGTTGTTCGAATAAAAAGGATCAAACAAGGTGGAGCAAGTAATAAGGGAAGAACGTCAAGAACTGACGATGAAGACAACACCTGGCGTATCCAGCATATACCGCCGACCATTAGATACACCTCTACCTACGCGTCACGTGATTGTTAGATAAATGCTTTGTACTCAGCCGACCCGAAGGGCGCATGGTTAGTATTATATCGCATGCCACTTGAATTAATCGTACTTAGTACTTAGCTATGATGAGTACAAACACGTAAATAAATACGAGAATAAGAAGCGAAATGTACAAAGGCTAGAAATCAGAGATATACATTACATATCATTTAATTAATTTAAAGATTTGAGATCATTGTGTTGTGTGTCGTCGTCTGGATTTTTTTTTTTAGGATTGTGCTTGGACTTTCGCGAAAAATAGTTCAATTAACAAATATAAAAAGATATTCTCGAAACTATCGGCCCTTTCTTCTTTGACTTCGACAGATCCGAAAAGAAATTTGGAATCTACTTTCTTTGTTAGAATCCGAAAGTGTTCGGATTTTTAATTGAAACGTTACGAGATATCATTATCGATTCATCAAACACGAGATAAAAATATTAATTTAATTAAAACATTATAATATAATATATAAATATAATATAATAATATAATATA